GGTGGCTTTCAACACATACCTTCAAATTTTCTCCTGTCTCCCCTACTGGGGACAAATATATTTTCTGTTGCCCTGTTCTCCGTGCTATTATCGAGAGCGGCAGGAGCCTGATTTGCAAAGCTAATCAACCAGTGGCTCCCTGGGCAATTAGAAGCTGGCATTTGAGCTGGTGATCACACACAGCCAGGCCCCTCTGACGCAGGGCAGGCTCCCCAATACCTTCCTTCCTGCACCGCCTGGTCCGGAACCAAGTGGCACATCAGACTATAGGAAATTGCAAAGTGACTCAGAGCAATTTCTCAGAACTTATTTTTTTCCAAGAAGGAAGGCAGCTCCCCTGTGGAGCTGGGACATCTTTGAAAGGTGAGCAGGGGCCAAGGTGATGGAAGGCGCCCCAGGAGTAGAGGCTCCGCACCCCTCTGTGCGCTGGTACAGAACACTCACTTGCCTCTGTGTGCAGAGCATGTAAAGGGAGGGTGGCCCTGCCCCGCGGTCAGCCCTCCCGGCGTGGCCAGCTTCGAGCGCTCCTCGTGAAGGAGCTTGGAGCTTACAGTGACCAGTGTACCCAGGAAGATTCCACTCATGGTGTCCAAAGGGTGACTGGGCCAACTTCCCCTGTAACTGGGGGAGCAGAGGGAAGGAATAGGGGGTCCTCGGTGCCCTCCCAGAGGGACAAAGGAGCCACTGCAGACTGGTCACCCCCTGCGTCCCCTGCGCTCCCCCTAAATCACCCATCACACAGCTGTTGCTTTTACTTAAAGCAAGACCTATAACATTTTGGCGAGGATCAGAATTTAAATTTGTGTTGCCCCCAACATCCTTCTTTTCATTAGCTACAGAAAAGGCTGCGGCACCAGCGTGCAGAATTCTTCCTCCCTGGTCTCAGCCTACTCATTTCATTTGCCACCCAAGGAGGACCTGGGTGTACTTCTGGCCCTCAGAGCCTCTTAGCACAGTCAAAAGTTAAGGATGGGAAGCGGAGCCCGCAGGTGGAAACTAGCTTCAAAAGGCCGCCTGAGCACACACACGTCCCAGCGCGTTCTTGATCACGGTTCTGCAGTGTCGAGATGAGGGAGAAACCGGACTACTCAGATTTTGCTCCAGGTCAGAAGTATGGGCTTGGGGTGCGGAGGAAGCCCAGGGACAAACGTCACAGGGTTGGGAAACCCCCTGAAACCATCAACTTCTTAGGAATGAGTGGGAGCGACTGAGGCCTGTAGCTTTCCACAGATCCTCAGAGCTGAGGTCCTTCCTAAACAAGACTGAGCAGGCCTGGGAACAGAGCAGCAAATGGCCCCATCTCTGCCCTAAATCCAATCGCCACAAATCCATGAAGTTCCATTCTAACTGGGCTCTCCTGAAGCTTCTCTTTCTCTTCAGCCCCTCTCCTTACTCATGAAGCAAAAAGGTTGTGTCAAGCAAAGAGTCTAAAGAACACCTGCCTTAGAGCAGGTATTGGGACAGACAGACAGCTGGACAGGGTATCAGAGCCAGGTGATGGGCCTCAGTCCCGCGGACCCACAGCTCCTTTAGAGGGTGCGGGACTTGGATGACGTATCCAGGGAAAAGGGGCGTCACTGCCAGATTGTAAAGCCCACGGTGGTCTTCCTGGGAGACCACCCTAGCCCTGCTGGGGTCCCCTGAGGCCACCAAGAGCCCCATGGAGGGTGAGGATGGAAGATGCAGGGGTGGTGTGGCTTCACCCCAGGCCCAGGCCTGCCAGCACTTTGCTCTTGGGCCCACACGGGACGCGGAACAGGCTCAGTCCCATCTGCTCTCAGTAGAGACCCTCCCGCTCAGGGTGCAGGTCCCTGGGTCCCTCTGAGCTCTGCCTTTGCCTGGAGAGGACAAGCTCATCCCTCTCCATCCCCTGTCAGAATAGGAGCAGGCGCTCCTGTCGCTCCGAAGGAGAGGGCAGGTGAAGAGGTTGAGCGCCAGGCCCGCCCGGAGCCGCCCCTGCTGGGCCGGGTCAGATCTCTGGGTCTGATCTGTGTGTGGCCTCTGCTGTGGGGCGGCCCAGTCCCAACCCTGTGAGTCATCGCCCAGCAGCGAGCAAGGGTGTGATTAGCCTCCAGCCCCACAGGCCTTGACCCAGCCGCCCCCAGGGATGCAGGCGCCTTTCTTCTCCTTCACTTGGTGACTCTGAAGGTGACTCTGACAACAGCGCTTTCTGTTTCTCCAGAGAAGTGGGGTAAAGGGGACACTTGGAGCAGGAGGAAGCAGGGGCGCAGGAAGGCGGGGGGCTAGTGCCGTGGACAAGAGGATGGGGAGGCTGAAGCCAAGAGACCTAGCAGAGCACCACCATCTTCCAGGATGACAAAGGGAAGCAGAAGAAAGGGGTGCCGGGACCCCTCATCATGCCCCACCCGGGGACACATCCCCACTTTGCAGACTAGGAGGCGGAGGCTCAGGGCCTGCCTGGTCAGACCCGCGGGGCCCAGGCCGGCCCCGGGCGCTCTGCCCCGACACAGGCTGTTCTGTCAGCCAGCGCCCACGCCCCGGTCACCTCTGCTGCAACAACACCTCCCGCGCTGCCGCCTACGTGCTCCCCACAGTCCCTTTGAGCTTTGAAAGCCGCCCTGGCAAAGGCACAGACGCCCAGTGTGTGTCGGGCACCCCACTGCTGTGGACGACTTGGGAGGCCCTGGCACCATGCCCCAGTCTGCTAACATGACCCTTCAGGACTGCACCCCGGCCCGTCCATGAGGGGGTGGCGAGTCGCAGAGGAGGCCCCGGGAAGGTGGCCTCCTCAGAGGTTTCTTCCCAGCCCTGGCAGCTCCGGGCTCAGCCTCCAGGCGGCCGCGCCCGCCCCTGTGGGCCTCCCACCGGCCCCGGCACTCACACCCCTGCCCCCGTCATGGGCCTCGCATCTGACCCGCTCAGATGTGCCCTGGGCGACCGCCGACCCGCTGAGCAGGCTGGCAGGGCCCTTGGCGGCAGAGAGGGTGGGCACTCGCGAGCCTTCCGCACAGTGGCGTCCAGCCCTGCCACAGCTGGCCGAGAGCGGCGCCCTCCAACACGTCGGGGCCCACGGTCAAGGGAAGACCAAGAAAGACCAAGCGGGTCTCTGATACCCTGAAGCCAGGGAAATGGGAAATCCAAGAAAGCCCAGCTGACTACAGAGTGGCCAGATGACCTCCCAGACACCAGTGAAACTCGGCACAGCCACCTCGGACGGGCCCACAAGTCCCCACCGCGAGGAGCCCACAGGACGTTTGAGGAAAGCAGAACAGTGCATCTGCGCTGAGCAGAAAGCGCAGCCCACCAGTGGCGCCCTGTCCAGGGCCACTGTGCCCCAGGGACGCTCCCCCCAGCCCCCACCCGCCCTCACCTCCCCTGCCCCAGCCACTCCTGCACAAGAGACAGGCAGCCCACAGTTGTGTCACTCAGCACCTGAAGCCGCACTCGGAAGGGCCCCGAGACCCTGCACGGAGGGGAAATGAACAGAGGCAGCTGGCTCTGTGCTGGCGCAGAGGCAAAGAGCCAACCCTAGGGCCGGCCTGGCCTCCTGCTCCCACCTGGGGGAGCGCGGGAGTGTCCCAACACCAGGAAGGCCGGGCACAGCTCACCGGGCGGTCATGTGCTCAGTAAAGGGAGCGGACACTGTTGGAAACCTGCCGTGTGTGTGGGCGACGCGGCAGGAAGGGAGAACTTGTACCTGAAAAGCTCACCCTGCGCTCCGCCCCACAGGCTGGCCGAACGGCTGCTGGAGCACCGGACACAGACAGGGCGCCCAGCCAGGCTGGGAAGCAGCCCCCGGTCACACCTGGGAAGGCCTGTGGCCCGGGGCAAGGACAGGCTTCCTCCCGTCAGCCTCAGAGCGCTCCCCGCTGTGCCCCGACACAGCACAGGCCGCCTGGGCTTGGGCGCTCCCAGCCAGGGGGCAGACACAGCCCTCAGCCGCCCTCAGGGGCAGTTTACTTGAGGACACACTCTCCGTCCATCACACAGGGCCTGGCCCAAGTAACTTGCCTTCAGAAATAAGTGTCCCCCGATAGCCGCTGTTCACGAGTAAACTACATCTTAGTTTGGCTTTTCAACAAAAGCATCTCACAACCAAGCCGGTCTTGGAGGAAGGCAGAAGATTCAAAGGATGCTAAGAAAGGCGGGTGCCTGAGGCAGAGACCGACCGGTCGTCCAGTCTGCTGGTCACTGCCGCTTCCTTTAGCTCCTCCGATATGCAAGCCTGTAACGGCCACTCGGCGCAGCACTTAAGAGGTGCCACGACAGGCAGCAGGCATTAAGTATGAATGCCTGTGACTGTCGTGCTGTGAGCTCAAACCTAGCCCCTGGCGCGCACCCCTTCTTTCTACCTTGAAAAAAGAACGGGACAAAACAGATCTGAAGTATGATTAAGTTGCAAAGAGCACAACGCACAGTTGTCAGGCTGCAGATCGCTCCAGATCCCCAACGCTCTGTTCTATCAACACGACGCCCACAAACTGCAAAAATAATCCCTGCCAAAGCCACCCTAGGTAATTACATAAAATCCTCCTAAAAGCTGAGAACAGCGTTCATCGGGAATATCTAAAGTAAAAACTCCACTTACCTGGTAGAAAACGGGTCTTACTCTTGCGCATTTCCTTCCACGACCTGTACACCCAAGGATGTGGCAGGATCCCCGGAAATGTGTCAAAGCTAAAAATGATTCACGGGCTTCCAGTGACGCCTCTCTCGTCTGTGTTACCAAGAAAACGCATGAAATGTCCCTATGACCTCCCATTAGCTTCACAGCAGATCAAAGCACAAAGCTATTTCAGAGATCGGTTTAAAGACTCAAACATCCTGGGCTGAGAAAGAACGTTGACAATGCCCCAGGACAACCAGGAGCCAAAGAAATCCTCTTACAGACTACACTTAGAATCCCTTCTAGAAAGAGAAGCAGACCGTCTTCAGACATTTAGAGTGAAATCAAGTTTCAAGACAGAGAAAAGAAGCCAGCAGCATGCCACTCGGCGCCCGGGGCCACATCCCGGGCATCAGAGCTCCCGGTTACTTACATGATGCACACACGAGGCAAAGTTCAGAGAGACCTGATTCCTCAGGAGGCAGGCTGCATCTACCGCCGGCAGCTGGCACGCATCCTCGCTCCCTCACCCCCAGGCAATGAAAAAATCCCAAACTGTTCTTCCAAGTCACATTCGCGAGAAAGCCTAGCGCCACCAAGCTCTTCCTCCTAGGCAGCGCCAGGGTTGGGGAAGGCTCACTCCGCCTTCCTCTGCATCTCCACCCAGGCTCTGAGCCTGCCAGCTCGGGAAGGCGGGCACCCGGCTAGGACACACAGAGCGAGGACAGAGCCAAAGGGTGGCCCCTCTTCAGAGCCGAGTGCAAGAGCCAGAGACAGAAGAGCAGCAGCATTTCTGCGGGGACCGCTTGACACCCCTCAAGTTCCCAGAAGAAACCAGAAACTGATGCTCACCCCCCCACCCAAAGAGAAAGTGTTTATTCCTTTCAAACTCCAAACTATTACAATACTGCACGTTAATTGCTAACAATACAGGGGGGGAAATGATCCCTCACACAGGAGAGGGTGACAGGGATGCACAAAGAGCTGTGACACTAATAGGCACCCTGGAAGAGAGAGAAGGCAATCAATTATGAGCCATTTGCAGAAATTGTAGGGCTGTCAAAAGCCCTCTTACAGCTGTGCTTCATCAAGCCCGGCTGCCTTTGGTTTTCAAGGGAAATTATTCCTTATTGCAACGTCTAGGGTATTGTTAGTAAAATATCCCCAGCAACCCAGGTTCAGCCAGGGTCCAATCTGCAAAGAAGTTAATGACCCCCGAGAAGCAAGAGGGCTGGAGCAAGAAGCCAGGGAAACAGGGACAGGTCTCTGGGAAGAGGGGTCCCCTCCTGGGACCCCCTGGGACAGCCCAGTGCCATCCTGAAGGAGCCTCCCAGGCACACGCCTCAGGACGCACAGATCTCCATTTGGACAGAGAAAAGGAGGCTGCTGCCAGGCTGGAGCGGATATGTCTCAGGAGCTAAAACAATGCAGACCAGGAGAAAGTCTTCAATTCTAAACTTTCTTTTCACGGTGCTCTAGCACAATGACGACTTTCGAGGCCCACCCACTCTGGTTTTGGTCAGCAATTCCTTCCCAAAGGATGAAGAACCCATGAGCTGAGCGAGCACCAGAGGCTTCACTAGGAGGAAGATCATTATTAGAGACAGCTGCAGATGGGAAAAAGGTGAGCGCTACTTCAGACCTGAAAAGAATTGACAGCAAATGCTGAACATGCTGACACTCCCTTTCAATTTTATTTTCTTCCGTGTTCTTTGTTTTACATTTGCTTTCCCCTTTATCTATTTTAGCAAGGAGAATTAGCTCAGTCCCAATTTCAAGCTGTAGCTTGTCCACCCCTAGATTTCTAACTGATGCTCCAATGCTCATGCTGAAGGTGCTGGTGCATTTTGAACATCACTGTGAAATAATAAAGCTGGCAGTAGGGGCCTCCCCGGTGGTGCAGGGGGTCAAAAGGCAGCACTAGGAAGCTGGCCGCAGCCGCTTCAGTGTGAGTTCGATCCTTGGCCATGCTGGTGACCCACATGGCGCCACAGACCCCTCCTGTCTCCCCGCTGCTCCCCTCGGCAGTCAATCTGCCTGTTCTACTCCTCACTCTGTCGCCATCTCTGGCCTGTACCCCAGTTCTGTGCACATAAATAAATCTTTAAAAAAATAAATAAACAGGTCCTCCCTGGTGGCGCAGCAGGTTAAAGCACAGCACTGAGAAGCTGAAGCCACTTCCGCATGAGTTCGATCCCCGCCTGCCCC